TAATAATGTCCTGAGAGCGCACGCTGTAGCTGCACTCACGCAGAGACATGTAGGAGGAGATGTATGAAGGCAGCAGACCAAGAAGTGATTTCAAGATGAAAATGTACCAGTGAGAGAGTCTGCATGAAGTTAATAATGTCCAGTTAACCAGTGAATACTGGGTGCAGTGGTGGGTACGATAATCACAGCCAGTTATGAATCTTAGTGCACCATGATAGACAGCATCCAACATCTGCAGCATCCAACATCTGCAGCATCCAACATCTGCAGGTGCTTGTAGGAGTGTTCATGTAAATAATGTCACTGTAATCAATGGAGGGAAGGAAAGTCACAGGTGTTTCCTAACATTCAGAGTTAGACCGGATCTATTTCTTAAAAAGAAACCCGGTTTTATTTTCAGTTTCTTTACCAAGGTTTCAACATGACACTTCTCTTTCACTCTCGATGAAGACGGTCATTCTCACCCGTTCCTCCCTCCTTCCTGTTTTTTTATTTTTTTTGCTCTCTTGTCCTGTGAACATACTCAGAGCCTCTCTTTACAAATCTTCCAAATCAAAACTTATTATGGATCTGGTCAGCTGGTCTCTCAATGCAATAGACAACATTTTACAAGAAGGCGGGGTGAAGTTAAGACCTCTTCTCAGAAACATAATTGGATTTATGATAACTGGATTCTGCTTTTTGGAGTCGGTGGAAATTTGGATTGTCGACAAATTTGGAACTGCCAGCAGCTGTTTAAGCTGTCTGGAATGTATGTGCTGGGCTTGGCAACACTCAGACTGTGTGGGAACCATCTGTGGACCTGTAACGGAGCTGAGCAGGCAGGACTGTGGAACTTTGTGGCAGTGTTCATGGACGGTTGGAAGGAAGAGATCTTTGAGAAGTTGTAAGCCCGACTTCGGCGGAATGTCCTCGGATCTGGCTGTTTGGATTCACCATTAAGTGTTCCAGCAGAACTGAAGGCAGACTTTTCAGTAGAGTCTGCCTGCCCAAAACAGTTGTTTATCTGATTTTGGTCTCCCCGCTGGCCTTGGATAGACCAAATTATCTCAGATTGTTCCTGCAGGATACATAAACTAAGAAGCTCTGCCTGCATCCCTTTGGTTTTGTCGGCATTTAGGACAAGTTTGAGACGGAACATCTGACGGAATGTCAAAAGCAGATTGCAAAAGTTGGAAAGCCTTAGCAACTGATTTAGCTCTACATCACACAACTGTGTCGTCGGCATAGAAATGTAAGGATGCATCAGGAATGATCTGACCTACATTACTTATGTAGATTGTGAAGAAGGTTGGGCCTAAGACTGAACCTTGTGGTACACCATTGTTAAATAGTTTGAATAAGTACTGTACCATTATGTTGAACACATTGCCTTCGATAATACTTATATAATTAGAGAAACCTACCAATGGTGTGATCTGAGAAATCAGTTTCTGAGAGTTTATGACACAAGATGTTCTGATCCACAGTGTCAAAAGCTTTAGACAGGTCTAAGAAAAGTGCAGCACAATAATCTTTAGCATCCAGTGCTTCAACATCATTAAGAACCTTCAGTGAAGCAGTGGTTGTGCTGTGTTGTTTCCTGAAACCAGGTTGATGTGGAGGTAAGATGTTAAATGAGTCCAAATACTTTCTGATTTGAGAGTTTATCAGTTTTTCTAGAACCTTGGCTAAAATGCAGAGTTTAGAGATTGGTCGATAGTTGTTCAGTGAGGTGGGGTCTCCTCCCTTCAGCAAAGGAAGAACAAAGGCTGTTTTCCAAGTGTCTGGGATGGAGTTTTGTCTCATGGAGAGGTTGAAGATGTGGGTCACAGGGACTGTGATGATATGAGCAGCCAGCCTTAAGAAATAAGGTGGAAGTTCATCTGGACCTGCAGATTTTTTTGAGTCTAGACATTTTAACAACCTCACTAACAGAAAACAGTGAAAATGAGAAGACGTGGTTTACTGAAGATTGACTTGTAGGAGAGATTTGATTTGTAGATGTTCAGCTTAAAGGAGAAGTGGCTGGTTTCCATTAGAAACTGTGACAAACAAGGAGCAACAGAACGTTTGTTGAAACAGTTCAGGATCTCGTGCTTCTTTGACACAGGAACAGAGTTAACAAGAAGTTGTGATGGGAGGTCAGATGAATGAGAGCTTTTATGCTCCTCTTGCTCATCAAGCTGATGATCCTCAGGTGCTGCTGATTAGTTTAGCTGTGAGCGGAGGAGCTGGCCGAGCAGAACTCCCACAAACAATATATTTGAAAAATGCAAAAGCAAAATCCAGATATATTTAGTAGAAACGTGTTCTTCTGGTCTTTTGTTTTAAAACTTCTGATAAAACTACTCCCAATTAATTTAAATCTTTTTACGCAGTGCATCTTGTTCTTTCTTCATCTCTTGTGTAGAAATTGTTTTTGAGAAACTGATTAAAATATTTTTAATTTCCTTCGTCAGACGGTATGATCAAAAAATAGAATAAAAAAAATTTTATTTTGAGGACAGAGAAGAAAAATCCCAGATCTTTAAAGTAAAGAACATCAACATGATGGAACTAAAACTGAAATCTTTTAATGCTACTATTAAGAAAAGTCATTTTATTTATTAAAAAAAAGATTAAACATTGCGTACGGTTTTCCATTTTCATACAAAATGCTGCTGAAGAGTTGAAAATGGTGTTTTACGTTTTCCACTGAATGGTTCATCTCTGACTGCAAACACATGCATTTTAATTATTCCGTACGTCGCGTGTCTCCGTGGAAAATCTCACAACAGAGAAACGTGTCGGGAGCTCAGAGGATGGTTCTGATTTCCTCCTCCGGTGGTGATTTCTACAAACTGCAGGTAGAAATGGAAACCATGAGGCCGTCAGACTGGAGATATGAGAAACTCCACCTGCACCACTGACCATACTTACAGTCTGGGCTGGTGAAGTATTCCTGTCAGGCCTGTTTGGTGTCATCTCCAACACAAAGTGCTTTGACAGACGCACCTGTCCAGCATCAAAACAGCAAACGGAGCGCGAATGATTCATCAGGTGGAAGTCCAATGAAAGGTTTGACAATTATTGCACGTCGGACACACTTCCTGACATTACCTGAGCTCGAACCTGCAGCCTCAGAATTACAGGACCACACTGACCACCGAGCCACCGCGGCCAAGACGAGAAGCAAAAATATTCATGCCACACCAGGAGGGAACGGTATCGTCAAGAATCACGAGCTCAGCTAAAGACGATCCAAAAACAACTGTAGTGGTTTTTTTATTTAATTATTTCATCTGAATTCTTTAATTTCATCAACACAAAAGTTTTATGATGTCCGAGTAGGGACAAATTGAGCCAGATGTAGGAAACAAAAGTAACAGGCCAATTATTGTGTGGTTGTGGCATTCCCCTGAACAAAGATGGCCGATTATTCTTTACTCCAAATCTGTTGAATCGACAGGAGAAACTGCTTTTAAAAATTTCATGATAAAACAATTTGTAAAAATCTTTCAAAAACACAAGGAGTTATTTTAAAGTGATTGGGCTACGTCTGAAAAGTTCAGACTTCAAGTCTTTTAAACAGCAATGAGGTGAACTCACATACAAATCCCTCCCTCCCCTCCCTGCTGAGGATCTTTGTCCAGCTGGACCTCATGAGAGACGTTCTAGTCACACGATGGAGCGTGTGAAGTATCGTCAGTGCTCTGAGGTGGCTTGTAATCCTGGAAATCTGAGAACTTGGACCTGAAACACGAGACCTTGGATTTAAGACCTTAGACCTGGGACCTAAAACCAAAGGCCTGATACATTGGACTTAAAACCCGAGGCTCAAAGCCCAGGATGTCCTCCTGAGGGTACTATAATGCTGTTGCTTTTGTTATAGTTTATTCTTTTTTAGCTATTTATTTGGTTTTTTGCAGTGGTGGGTCCTGAGCAAAACTATTAACGGGGTGGACACCAATTTCCTGAAAATGTTTACAAATTTCATTAAATTTTCTGTGAAAAAAGTTAAATGTTGCTTAATATTTAATGTACTGTTGTTATTTGTGTGTGTGTGTGTGTGTGTGTGTGGGGGGGGGGGGGTAAATCTACAAAGTTTCTTCCTTTCTTTTTCCTCCCACGAGTCGAGGCCGTGTCTTGTGCCTCCCATCCCCAGCTGACAGCCGCACAGCTTTCTGAAATAGATTTCTAATTTGATTCGAAGGAATAATTCAGAAATAATAATCCAGATTAACAATTAAATGAAGACAAAATGTTCAACGGTCATTCTAAAAGTGAAATATGATGATACAATATAGCAACACCAAATAAAAAAAATATACATAAGTGGGGATCAAACACTCAGATACGAGACCACTGTTTCAACCACTGACCCCCCCCCCCCCCCCCACACACACACACACAGAAGCCACACAAGTGTTAACATAAGGTCTTATCACGTTGACAGAGGTTTTCATGTTCTTTGACTTTCCTCTGCTCTTCTCAGTTTTCTGTTGTGGTCCGCTCTGTCTGCCTGAATGGATGTAAAAACAGAATATCTACACTGTTGGTCTCAACAGGTTTCACTGCAGCTGTTCCTGGGTTTGAGCTCATGTCAGGTCTAGCTAAAGGTCACATTAATGTGCTACAACCAGCCGGATGTGTCCACAGGGCAGAAAATCAGACGCCGCAAATAAAACTCTATTAGACATGTCTGTTTGGAATTGGATCACTGGCCGCACATTTGGATTCGCTTGATGAATGCAGGTCATTGAACGTTATAATGGTAAATAAGTTAAAAACTGAGGATGGATCACTAAAATAATTTTAAATTTCACTTGAAATTGAAAAAGAAAATACACAGCAAGCTCAGTAAATGAGTAATTTACATTATTTATAAGGATAAACTATTTTTTGGCCACTGTTGTTTATTGGCTTTTTATTTTTTTTGTTAAACATAAAAGGCTTACCTGACTCCGCCCCCACTCTGACCAGTTTAAAATAAACCCATCTGATGTGATTTTCCTCATTTCGTTTTTCACAGGTTTAAAATGAACGAGGAACTGGAGAACACCTCGACTCTGCTGTATGACAACTGGATGTTTAACAACTCGTCCGTGGAGTACGCGGTCCCCAGGAACAACATCACGTATGTTGGATTTTACCTGCATCAGCCGGTCACCGCCGCCATCTTCATCGTGTCCTACCTGCTCATCTTCCTGGTGTGCATGGTGGGCAATGCAGTGGTTTGTTTCATCGTCCTGAGGAGTAAAAACATGCGGACGGTGACCAACTTGTTCATCTTAAACCTTGCTGTGAGCGACCTGCTGGTGGGGGTTTTCTGCATGCCCACCACCCTTCTGGACAACATCATTACAGGTGAGCAGGAAGATGTTTGGAGGGGGTTACTTTGTTACCTGTGTGAAAACTGGAGGTCTAACCATGATGCCAAATTGTTTTTTTCACCACAAAGTTTGGGCTGGAATTTAATGAGCTATCTTTTGTCCCTAGGTGGGAGGGAGAGGGTGAATGTCTTGTTTGTCTCTGTGTCCCTGTGATGGACTGGAGACTTGTCCAGGGTGTCCCCCACCTCTCACACTGTGACTGCTGGATATGGACACCAGTGATTCCTGCGACCCAGAAAGGAAGAAACAGTTAAAGATAATGGATGGATGGATGGATGGATGGATGGATGTTCTCACTGAATGAAAATGAACAGAGCCATCCGTCCAGAAAGCCCCCCGTCCCTTGGTGAAACCACGTTTAGTATTTTTTCTTTAGTCACACGCTGTCAACAAACTGACAAACTAAATGTGGATCATAATGACAACAGACGTTCTGTGCCGTAATCCGTGTGTAGATTTTCTGTATTTGTTTCTGTTCCGGTGTCATTTCTCATCCCTCCCTCCGTCAGCCTCTTCAGTATTTTTCCTCACTCTTCCACCATCACCTGTTCCCAGCTCTAATCCCCCCCAGGTGTTCCTCATTGTGTCTCGTTAGTCTCTTTAAATAACTTGACATTTTGTTTGTCCCTCGTCCGTGGATTGTGCTTCATCTGCCAGTCATGCTGTTTACCCCCGTGTCCCCCCGAGTTCTCTGTGTTTGTAAGTCCGCTGTCATGTCAACTTTTTGTTTTTGATTATTTAAATAAATAAGTTTCTTATTTTTACCCTCGAGTTCTTTGTGTCTGTCTGCACCTGGGCCCGATTCTCTGTTCTATCAAATCTGTAAACTTTGAAGCAACTACCTGTAGTCATTATTTATTTGATATTCCTTCTGTTAAGATTCTTGTCTACCCCACCAAAAAAAAAAAAAAAAGTCAGCTCTGATAATTACAGAAGGAAGTCCCAAATTATTACCGGGCTTTAGAGAAGAAAGAGACTCGGGCAGGACCTGCACGGTTACCCTTCAATAGAGACCTTCGGTTTTATTAAAGCACGTGGGTTTATTAATATTTTAGCTCACGCACGTGTTGTAACTGGTCCTGAACCCTGAACCCATGGCGTCTCGACCAGCCATGATGAGGGTTCAGACGTTTCATACTGAGCTCTACGAGACATCATCAGGTACCATCAGAACTCAGAGGGTCCACCTTCTCAAAAGGGTCAACAACAATAAATGTTTTATTTTGATCTAACTCGCTGTTGAAGCTGTAGAAAATTAATTTTATTTAATCAAAAACCACTCAAACATATTAAAGAACTTTTGAGAAACTATGGAATAACTGATTATTTCAAACTTGAGCGCAAATACTAAATTTATATTCCCACAAACTGCTTTATGTCCTAAACCTTTTAAACTTGGTCTTTGTTAAAAAAAAAAAAGGGCAGAAATTAGTTATTAAACTCGCATCATTAAAAAACAAAACAGTCAACCCAACAACATGTCAAACATTGACATAGTTGGACGTAAATCCATGTTACCTAAGAGCTTTGGATGGTTAAATCCCTTCAGCCACGATATAATCCTGAAACATGCTGGACGGTTTACAGCAACCAGGAGGAAACAGAAAAACAGCTCATTAGCTTTGCAGGAGATCACAGCTTGTCAAATACGCAAAAAAAAAAAAAAAATCCCTTTCAACATTTTGCCTTGGCACACCAAGTCACTGCCTGTTACACCATGAAGCTCAGTTCACCAGTAAACAAACAAACAAACCAGCTGCTTGTACCGTGTATGCTATAATCATATATGTTTAATTTTTCACTTAATTCCATAAAGCTGGGCTGTTGTCAACAACAAATACTCTAAATTAACTTCACAGCTTCAGAGACAAATTCAGAAAGACGGTTCATCTCTTAAGAAAACTACGGACTTGGACTTGGATTGTGCCTGAACCTCCAAATGTCAGTGCCCTGGTTATCCAGTTGACTGATCAATGTTCATCTGATCCAGCTCTGATCATTTGGACAGACCTTCATGACAGCACCAGGCTGCTGCCACAGATTGTGTATGGGGTCGGCATACACAAGTCTTTCGGTGCTTCTGCCTCATCAGGCACATTCCACTGTTGGAGTTCTGTTATGGTATGATGCACTGACTCTCACCACTGCAGCTGCGTAGCTGTCCCACTCCACCTCAACCTCAACCTCTGTAACGCCTCCCTTTAAGTTTTATATTCTTTTAGTGTTGCATTTTGAAGTCTGAGCAACCCTTCTGTCTTTCAGGCTGCCGTTGAGTCCTTTAAGGTTGAGTTATGTTGGTCACCGTGCACTACATGTGTGAATGGCTTTCTGCATCAGGCTTGTGGACTGCTCGTTCTGCTTAGGTTGTGTCTGAGAGTTACTCCCTATAAATGATCAACATGTTGGGTGGAGAGAGCTTCCTGAAACAAAAATGAACAATTGGCTGCTTAACCACTTTAAACTGGTTGCATCAGTCACTGGTTACACGTCTGCGCAGGTGCTTTATATGTAAATCTATGGGGCGTGTCAGAGCAAGCTGGTGTGCCACAAGGAAATATCAGAATCAGAATAAACTTTATTATCATTGCACTGAGATACAATGAGAACATGTACATACAGTTGTCCGAAAGATGGGCGGAGTGCACAAAGCTGCTACTATGGAAGCGCGGCCTTATTCTTATTCAGAACAATATTTTCTTAGATCAGAAAAAGGGAAGAAACCATGAGGAGAGACGGTATAGAAAAAAAAAAGGTCTCTCACGCCGTGTCCTAGACAGGACACGATTTGAGGCATCAAAAAAAAAACTACCACAGCAAAGCAACATAAATAGACGTTATACGTGTACATATAGGCGGTGAAGACATTGAATTTTTAAGGGAAAGTCGTAGCATAGTCCAGAGCCCCCCCTCAGCCATTGTCCAGATAAGAGGTGACATTCATCATCAGTTTGGTTGAGGTTTCATTACATGTCCACGGCCTTGGGGAAGGGAGGGTGAGGAGACAGACAAAGCATCTTTGTTCTTTTCAAAACATGCCAGGAGGGATTGAGATAAGTCCAGTGTCAAGGCCACAGTTTGTGCCAGGCAGAACTCGTGAATTGTTGTTTCTGCCTTTTAAAAGTCTCGCTGGTACATTTCTCTGATGGAAACTCCGAACAGCCAAATTCATTCCTTAAAGTTGAGCTCAAAGCTTCTCCAAGATTATTCCCACCTTCATGTGTGCTGCTAGAGAGTCCACAGTCCTGATAACAGCTGCACCAGCTCTCTGTCGCAGCTCCACATAATTCAGTCTGAGTGCTGCCAAGCTTCGACACACCCACACAAATTTGTAGACAATCCTGATTTCACCAAGCTAAACAGCAGAATTCTAGTTGTCATCATGAATCCAATTAGTTTCCGTTGAGGGTCCTCTTTACCCTGACTCCTGTTTGGAGAAGTTGATCATTCATTTGAAATATGTAATGGGTGGAAAGATAATCTATCCTTTCGGAGTCAATTGATTCACCCCCGTCATTTTCAATCAAATGGTTTTGTAGTGAACTCGGCCTCCGACCAAAACCTGCCTCTGAGGACCTTCATGGGACAGGAACTGTTATTTCATTGATTTGAATCCAGAAATACAAAATAGCTCATCCAGAGACTTTCTAATTGTATCCTGAAGTAATCAATTGAAAGAACACTCTTCTTTTATATTATCATCACTATTTTACAATATCTTGATAAATCAAAAGTGTGTTTAGTTCATACCATTTCTAAACATTGAAGTGAACCACTCATTTTAAATCAACTGTGAAACAGTATTAATGATTTTTTAATCCTCATTTAAATTAGAAATCAAGTTAAATGTCTATTTTACAAAGTAATTATGCATTTCTGATCTGTCTAAATGAGAAGTAGTGATGTTGGTCGAAAGTCAGAGAGAAGTTATGAGAACGAAGTGTCGTGTTTTTAAACCTAGCAGATGGTAAACAAGAAGCTACTGGCCTCTCTTCCTCCCACTTCGCCATAACATGTCTTCTGTCTGTACGGGACGCTTCTAAAACATTCCTGCTGTTTCCTTGACTTGTAATGACCCTCTGACATCACTAGAACCACCCCCTTTTGGTTGCTTCAACCAATCAGGAAGTCCTGAGGTGACCGGAAGTGAGAACTCTTTAAGAGTCCACACTTCCTGGAACTTCTCAGGTCAATCGGGTCAAATGGGTCTCGTCAGTCGGTCTTCAGTCTTCTGGAGTCCTGGACTGGAGTCTTCCTGGGTCTTTCATGGAGTCCTCCACATCTGAGTGGAATCTCCGACTGAACTCACAGCTTGCTGTGTATTCCCCCGGGAGATGAGCGTGTTTGTTGAACGGAGTACCGTCACTACTTCGGACGATTCTCAGCCATCCTTACCGGAGACGCTGAAAGGTCGCGTTGAAATGGACTCCTGTTCCTGAGCGGAGGTATCCCGTCTAAGATAATGAGTCGCCACGCGCCAAGTGTACCGAGGCTGAGCTGGGGTCGGATGAAGGGTGCCGTTCCTAGTCAACACACATTCCTGTTTATCCATCTTTTCTCTCCATTTAAACTCCTCCATTTCCCATCTTTAAACTCTTCTATTTTGCCAGTAATTAATTAATTAATCTAGATGCCTTCAGAAATGTCTGTTGTTTTTATTAAGTAAAACGTGCCAAGTTTTATTAATCAGAACCAGATCAGCTAATCAAGTGTACAATGTTTTGATGTTAAATTTTGATTCTGTTCAATAAATGACCACATTTATTCTGATGGGCCAAAGAAAATTAACGTCTCATGTCACTGATTAAACAACCTATGCACAGTTACCTCGGTCACATGGCTGTAATTTAGCCCGAAAAAGAGAGAACCCGTTATTTAATTATAATTAGTAGTGAAGGTACAACAAAGCTGACCTTGACACACTACAGTTTGCTCACAGTCAAGTTCATTCAACCAGTTTCCTTATGGGGATAAAACACATGAATAGGATTTCTGTGTTCCAACTGTTTCACTGGTGCTTTTTGGTGTTTCACTGACATTTTGCTGTTTCTCTCATGTTTTTCTGTTTTTCCACTTTTCAGAGGATTAAAGTACCTCTACTGTCTCACTGGTGTTTTTCTGGTATTTCAATTGCCAGAGGATTTACTATACACCCTCTCTTGATTCACTGCTGTGGTGCTTCTTCCCTGGTGTTCCTCTTTGCTGTTTTACTGGTGCTTCATTGGTGTTTGACTAAAGGTTCAATGGTGTTGCACTGGAGCTTCTTTATTGTTTCAGTGGTTTCTTTAGTGTTTCACAAGTGTCTCACTAGGGTAGCTGTCAGATATTTTTTTCCCAGTGCTGTTCTGTCTCCGGCTGCATCTAGGTGCTAGAAAGGTCACCATTGAAAATTAGGTTGCCACGCCAAAATTCAAGATGGCCACCACATATATGTGTGAGTGAGTGAGTGAGTGAGTGAGTGAGTGAGTGAGTGAGTGAGTGAGTGAGTGAGTGAGTGAGTGAGTGAGTGAGTGAGTGAGTGAGTGAGTGAGAGAGAGAAAAACAGTCACCCTTTTCATTTGGGGAAACAATGCTTTATATTTCTTTAATATTGCCTAAAAGTATAGTTTCCTAAAATGATTGGGGTGCCCTTTGGGGTGGCCAAAGATTAATTAATGGTGGCAAAGATCATCAATTCAGTTCAATTCAGTTTATTTATATAGCACCAAATCACAGCAAAGTTGTCTCAGGGCACTTTACAGGAACATTCACATACATAGAAAAGCCAATTAATAAAGTTATCTATCTAAGGAAGTGTGCCACAAATCGTTGGCCACCCCCTGGCTCCTCCTTTGCACCTGGTGGTGGATAAATTTGCTCCATTCACCAGGATCCGTTACACTGCGCTGCCTCGGACAAGCAAAAAAAAAAAAAACACTCCCTCAGTTCTCCACAGTGCAGCTCCTACCCACTTGAATATCATTCACCAAAAACATTAAGGTTTACTTGCACCCCCTGTTCAATTCCAGTTCAGAAAATTACTCATCTCAAAAACTACAAATATTCGCTGCTCAAACTCTGAAGAACGGGGAACATCGGCATTCTGCTTGTTCTACTGGTTCTTCCATTTCCCTGCTGTTTCTCTTGTGTTTCAATGGTTTAAAGATTTCTCCTGGTGTTTGAACAGTTTTTTTAATTTTTATTATTGGGCAGTGGCTCACTCTTATTTTTTTATGATGTTGATATAAATAGAGACCTGCTCCTTCATCCGCAGGGCTAACAACTTCATCACTATAAATACTGACGTATGGCATCCTCCGCACTAGTGTGGGTTTTAGTTACAGTGTAAAAACTTACAATAGATATTAGTTTGTGGGTAATATTTTCTGCTAACTCCCCTTCCAGGTAGTCAACAGATATGGTCTTTAATTTGGAATTGAAACTTAAGAAGCAGGTAAAAAGTAAGTTTCCTCAGATGGTTAGGTGGGTCCAGAGACCTCATATCTTTTGTCTGGACTTTCATCTCATCAGTTAAAAATGTAGTAAAATAAAACTCTTTGTCAACAGGATGGCCCTTTGGAAGCCTGGTGTGCAAACTGAGCGGCATGGTTCAGGGGATTTCTGTTTCTGCATCCGTCTTCACTCTGGTTGCCATTGCTGTCGACAGGTAATTGGTTTCAGAAAATGTTCTTTTTGATACTGCATTTTTTAAATTTTCTACATCGCCTTACAGACTAGCTGTTTTTTGTTTCATTTTTTAATACATATTCTTTCACTTGTTCTTCTCAATTTGTATGCTTCCTTTATGAGTGTCTGTTGTTGTCTTTAGCCCTATTTGCATGGGATTAGTTTTACCTAGGGACCACATATAATAATTAAATTACTCCCCAACATCTGCTTTTATGTGACGTATTTGCACGGGATAACCAAAGCATGAGATTTAGCTGAAATTTACGGACAGCTTCCGGATATGATGTTAACGTGCTGCATATTTTAGAGCTGTCAACCTGGAGCCCAACCCGGATTCGGACTGGGCCGGTCCATAATAATGTGCGGGCCGGGCCGGTCTCGGACTTTGATGCTGTTTTACGAATCATACAGCACAAATAAAACTAAATAAGAATGCACAACATAAAATTGTTAATCTACTTGTTGAGGAGGAGGCAGGTCTGACCGGCCAGTTGAAAGAGTAAAAAAACAAAACAAGTCTCATTAAGCTCAGATGGACAACTGGTCACCGGCCACACGTGTCCGCTAACCCGCCGGTTGAAAAGGACTTGCGACCTGTCCAGGGTGTCTCTTGGCTCTCACACAGTGATGGCTGGACATGGGCACCAGCAACCTCCGCTACCCGAAATGGAAGAAGCGGGTAAATATAATGGACGGATGGATCAGCTGATCAGCTGCGCACGTCGCCACACCTGCTGTCATCTGCGGTGAAGGAAGAAGCAGCATCTACAAAAGCCGAAGCAAGCAGCACGTTCATTTAAAATGTTCTGTATTTTTCCAAATAATTTTGATTAGAAAACAAAAACAAAAAATGCCTCATTACGAATCGGATCCCGCCCATTTCTGTCCAAATCACAGAGATGCCTATTCGCATTGGATTAATATTCTCACAGGAACTCGGAGTTCAGCAAAATATAGTAGGAAATTTGTGGGGGAATTTTTACTTTACAAATTACTGACATGGCCGATTCGCACGGGATTAACAACACAGACAATCTCCGTAATTATTACAAATAGCACGTGGTCCCTAGGTAAAACTAATCCCGTGCGAATAGGGCTCTTGTTGTCATCACTCTTTGTTAAAACGCTGGTCTTTCTTGTAAATAAGATAAGAGAACTGTATTGATCCCACAGGTAATTGTTGTGCCAGAGTTTCAGTACAAAGGAACATACACAAGGAATCACACAAGATTTAAAAAATAACAGAGAATATAAAAATATCAACAATTAAAGTTCAGGTGCAGACAGAAACATTAAAGAGTTAAGAGTTAAATGAGTCTCTGAGGCTCAATGGGAAATAAAGGTTGAATGAAATTATTTTTAAATATGAAGTATAGAATTTATAATAATTCTGAAAAATTTTCATCACTTTCTTTTTCCTAATTTTAAAAGTGAAAAAATTATTTACTTTATACAAAGCTGAAACTTTAATTTAGTCCTTTTTATTTATGACAATGACAAATGAATATTTGTTAGAAATATTTATATTTATAGTATACAGTTCTGTCTAGTTTTATCATGACTTGCTTTAAACGTAAAACCCACTATTGGCTGAAAACAGTAGACTCCCTGATAAAATAAAGAATTTAAGTTTATTTTTAAATAAATGAAACAAAATGCTGACGGGGCAGCCAAACTTTCTTTAAGGAGGAAAAGACGAGGAGCAGAAACATGTAGCTTTAGGTGGACAATGCACAGACAAAGGAAGAGTGACGAGACACTGACACTTAACGAGACACGATGACAAACACCTGGGGTGACTGGAAACAGACAGGTGTGACGAGAGCTGGACAAGAAAGAGAAACACCGGAGTGCAGGAGAACAAAACGCAGGATCCCACAAGTTTAGGCAAAGCGTAAAGCCAAACTGAATATTAGTTCATCATGAAGGTTCAATGATCTTTGCTTAATAGTTTGACATTGGGAAGAAAGTTGTACTTTTAGGAGATAGATTAAAAGATTTACTTCATGTGAGTACGAATCTGGAGTCTAACCTGCTGCGTTTCCTATGGTTAAACATTTAAAGGCATTTTGTAATAAATTTCATTAACTTCCAAAGAAATTATCACATTTTATGGTTAAAATTATAAATTTATTACTAAAACAATACTACTATGAAAACCAACAGGACAGCAAGAAAAAATGTCAAATAAAACATTAACTCATTTAATTAGAAACTTTAGCATCGTACATAAACTCAAAACAAACTAATGTCCCCACGACTTCTAACACGAAACCATCACGGCCCGTGTAGGATCGGACCCACATGCAGGCAGATACAAGGATCTCGAGTAAAGTAAAAATGATTTATTAAATAAACAAAACAAAAAGCTGACGTGGCAGCAACAATTACCGACAACTCAGGAGTGTCGTGGAATAAAGCGATTCCCAAAACAACCAGGTGTCGACTTCATCAGAGTTACGACAAAGCTTTGGAGAACAGTCAGCAAGCACAGAAGATCAATGCATTTACAAGTTCAACTTATCGATGCCTGAACCTGTCTGAGGTTCTGAGCCGTTCTTCTTCTTTCAGCTTTTCCCTCTTCAGGGTCTCCACAGCGAGTCGTCCTCCTCCATCACTCTGTCCTCACTCCAACTACCTCCATGTCCTCTCTAACTGCATCCAGATATCTCCTCTTTGTCTTTTTCCTGGCAGCTGCATTTCTAACATCCTTCTACCAAAATACCAATTGTCCCTCTTCTGGACATGTCCAAACCACTGTCCCTCCTCTGGACATGTCCAAACCATCTCAGTCTGTCCTCTCTAACTTTATCTCCCAGTTGTTCAACCTGTGCTGTCCCTCTGATGATCTCATCCCTAATCTTCTCCATCCTTGTCTCTCCTAAGGAGAACCTCAACATCTTCATTTCTGCCACTTCCAGTTCTGTCTCCTGTCTTTTTGTCCATGTCTCTGTCTCCAGACCATACAACATAGCTGGTCTCACCACTGTCTTGTAAACTTTTCCTTTGACCTTCTGCCTTCCTGAACTGAAAAAGTTAGTTTTGTAGAAGCATCCATCCTCCCAGCCCCTCCTCGCCCTGATGAGCTGTTTTTAGAACCCAGCTGCAGACGGAAGCGATGAGGTATCTGGGAGTGAGACAGCTCCCAAGGACTCTCTGAAAACACATCTCTGTATCAATATCATATCAATCAAACCTTGAGGATAACAAAAATGATCTCTTGCTCTCCCTTTACTGACCACTCACATGAAGACTGAATATCACAGAGTAAGGATCATGGAACATTTAATATTACTCATATTAACAGTTTAAAAAAGTGCTGCATAAATACATTAATCAATTAAATTATGGATGATTGTAAGGTCAAAAAATACACGTTCCCTTGACAGAGGCACGAGGGGACACGAGAAGGACTGAGACATCTGAAAAGCATTCAGGATGACGAGGAGACAAAGAGCCGTGCAAACACAAATCAGGTTGAACGTGGGACCACCCAGATGAATGTTGATCAGGGACAGGTGAGGGGGGCACACACAGGAGGCTTACTGCAAGTCAATGAAAGATGGAAGAAGAGTCACAAAAAGCTGAGCAGATACCCAAAGCACAAAAATAAAATCACCAAGACGTACAGACACAAAAACATAATTCTCCTGTGCGTTGGGGATCATTTCAGCTATTTCCAATCAGCTTCGTTTCTGACTTTCTGTGCTTGTTTCAATAAACAGCAGCAGCGTTCAAAACACCAGGGAGCAGAAAACCTTCCATCTGTCTGCCTTCAGGGTTGGTGCACTTCATGGTTCGTAGAAAAGTGAAGGAACACGTGATTTTCTGCTCACACATTAATATTCTCCATCTCCCCCTCCAGCACGACTCTGCCGTTCACCATTACCTTAATAAATATAACTATTTTAATAAAGCTGCTAATTAAAACCTTGAAAATGATCTTCCACTTAAACTAAAGCACTCTATTAAAAATGATAAATATCCCTGACTCAAAGCCGCCATTGAGTCAGTTTCATGGACACTTTGAGTGTTCTTCATCAGCCAGACCCAGAGATTTATTTTACTCATGCCTGGGAATCATTCTTTAAACGAGTTGAATTTAACACGAAGGCCATCAGCAGAGAAATATGGAGCCTAGTTAATGACTAGTGCGAAAGCTTTAATGCTTCACAGCAGGAGCTGGTTTGTCACCATCAGAACATTCAGGTTGGGGGTTTAACGGATGATGACAGGGTGAGACGTCACCATGTCACCATGTCATTAGTTCAAACCCCCGCAGAATGTCTGCACCCTTGAAAACGTCACCAAGTCTAAAATGCTTTGACACAAGATTTCAAGTCCCCCCCATTTAAAATCGTGAGACGAGGTTCTGAAAGGATGAAGAGCTGTTAAAGATGAAGATTGTTAGAAAACACTTTTATTCTGTAAAATGTCACTCGTGTCGTTCCTGTCCATCATCCGAACCCTTTTTGCTTTAGGATTTCAACTGTAACATTTTAAACTAATCCACAAGCCACAAACCTGCTTTTGTTTTTAGATCCATCCATCCATCCATCCATCCATCCATCCATCCATCCATCCATCCATCCATAATTTTCCGCTTCTTCCGGTTTGGGTCTCGGAGCAGCATCTTGAGCAAGGAGGTCCAGACATCTCTCTTCACAGCCACCTCTTCCAGGTCTTCTGCGAGGACTCCAAGATGTTTCCAGACTAACAGAGAGACATAGTATCTCCAGTGTGTCCTGGGTCTTCCCCAGGGTCTCCTCCCAGTTGGACATGCCTGAAGCACTTCCCTAGGGAAGTGCCCAGGAAGCATCCTTAACATCAAACCACCTCAACTGGCTCCTCTCAATGTGGAGGAGCAGCGGTTCTACTCTGTCTCTCCTGATAACTGAACTTCTCACCCTGTCTCTAAGGGAGTCCAGCTACCCTGCAGAGGAAACTAATTTTAACCTCCTGTATCCACGATCTCATTCTTTCAGTCACTACCCAGAGTTCATGACCAGAGGTGAGGGTAGAAACATAGACTGACCAGTAAACAGAGAGCTTTGCCTTACAGCTCAGCTCCCTCTTCACCACAACGGACCGGCACAGAGTCCGAAATACTGCAGATGCTGCACCAATTCATGTATCAATCTCATGCTCCATTCTTCCTTCACTTGTGAACAAAACCTTGACATATATGAACTCCTCCACTTGAGGCAGAACCTCACCCTCGACCTGAAGAGAACAATCCACCCTTTTCTGACTGAGGACGAAGGCCTCAGACCCTAAGGAGCTGATTCTCATCTCAGCTGCTTCACACTCGGCTGTGAACCGCTCCAGTGAGAGCTGAAGATCACGGCACGATGACGCCAACAGGACCACATCATCTGCAAAGAACAGAGATGGAGTACTGAGGCCTCCTGGCTGCACCGAGAAGTTCTGTCCATGAAAGTTCTGAACAAAATCAGGGACTACGGTTGTTTTTAGTTTTATTTAATTAATTTCCGTGTGTATTTTAACTGTACTTCTTCTTCTTCTTTTGGCTTTTCCCTCTTCAGGGGTCTCCACAGCGAGTCATCTTCCTCCATCTCACTCTGTCCTCTGTCTTCACTCCAACTACCTCCATGTCTTGTCTAACTGCATCCATATATCTCCTCTTTGTCTTTTTCTTGACAGCTGCATTTCTAATATCCAACATTTTTCAGTCAGGTCATCTGGACAGTTTCTTTTTTTTGTGCTGAAACGTTTCGCCTTCGATCCGGAAGTCTTCATCAGTCAAGGAAACACAACTGGAGGAAACACAAGGAAACACTGTCCTGTTGGTTGTGTGTTTCCTTGACTGATGAAGCCTTCTGGATGGAAGGCGAAACGTTTCATCACAAAAAAAGAAACTGTCCAGATGACCTGACTGAAAAATGTTGGATTGTATACCTGGATTATTGAGCATGGACTTTGTTCATTCTAGCATCCTTCTACCAATATACCCACTGTCTCTCCTCTGGACATGTCCAAACCATTGTCCCTCCTCTGGACATGTCCAAACCATCTCAGTGTGTCCTCTCTAACTTTAACTCCCAGTTGTTCAACCTGTGCTGTACCTCTGATGATCTCGTTCCTGATCTTCTCCATCCTTGTCACTCCTAAGGAGAACCTCAACATCTTCATTTCTGCCTCTTCCAGTTCTGTCTCCTGTCTTTTTGTCCATGTCTCTGACTCCAGACCATACAACATCGCTGGTCTCACCACTGTCTTGTAAACTTTTCCTTTGTATCTCAACTGAACTGTGTTCTTGTAAATCTGCAGGTTCCGATGCATCGTGTACCCGTTCAAGCAGAAGCTGACCATCTCCACAGCCTCGCTGATCATCGTGGTGATCTGGGTTCTGGCCATTTCCATCATGTGTCCCTCGGGAGTGATGCTTCAAGTGACCAGGGAGCCCAGCGTTCGAATCTTACTGGGCTACGACAACCAAACAGGTCCTTTTTACTGGTGCAAGGAGAACTGGCCGAACCAGGGCATGAGGAAGATCTACACCACTGTCCTGTTTGCGAACATCTACCTTGCTCCTCTTTCCCTCATCGTGATCATGTACGCCCGGATCGGCATTACGCTCTTTAAAACTGCTGTTCCGACGGGGGGGAAGCCGGGCCCCGACAACCGTCACAACGTGTCAAAGAAAAAACAAAGAGTGATCAAAATGCTTCTGATTGTTGCGCTGCTTTTCATCCTGTCCTGGCTGCCTCTGTGGACCCTGATGATGCTGAGCGACTACGCCAGCCTGACGGACAAACAGTACAGAATTATCAACATTTACATCTACCCCTTCGCCCACTGGCTCGCCTTCTTCAACAGCAGTGTCAACCCCATCATCTACGGTTTCTTTAATGAGAACTTCCGAAGAGGCTTTCAGGCCGTGTTCAAGTTCAGCTTGTGTGCGGCGGACGGGCAGCAAAGGAAAGGCTACTCACAGGGCAACTCTGTGCTCCCAGATAACAACCTCCAGAGCTCTTTGGAGCCCATCTCTCTCAACAACCTGGGCAAGAACTCTTCCAGGCCGTTCAACCACGTTACTGAGCGGGACTTGGTGATGGAGGACCTGGAGAAGGGATCGTGCAGCAGTGGCGGTGTGACTGCGGTGTCTATCTGAAGTCAGAATTAGGGATGCTAAAGCTCAAGTTTCCTGTGCCTCACAGAAAACAGACTTCACAGACCTCACTGTGGTATCGTCCACAGCAAACATAGTCTAGTCCTAAAGTGAAATACGTACATTTGTTCATCATCATGTTTAATGTGAACTATCTGAAAACTCAAAGCACGTTCAGCTGCTCGGACTGTAGCCATCAAAGAAGACTTCAGCTCACACAGCTAAGACGGGAAGTCCAATAAATCCTTCAGTCTGACCTTTGTTTCATTCCCATTTTTATGATGCAGATTAATACTCGGGCCACTGGTGATGACATCAGAGAGATGAGACTTAAAAAGTGGCAGTCCTTGACCAATCAATCAATCGGTCAACTTCTAATATCAACTGTCTGATCGGCACTTTAGAATTAAACAAATGGATCCTTGATCTGGTCTCATTCAGTTTTTACACTTCAGACTGATCAAAAATGAAAACCTAAAATATTCACCTGAACATTTCCTCTGGCATCCAGAGCTGAACCGTTTAGTCTCAAACTGACAAGTTTTGAGACAGCAATAAAAAAAACCTTTAGAACCTTTTAACCTGGACCAGATAAAGAACCCAGTGTTGGGTAGATGATGAAGTGGCCAGCTTCCATTTCCTGTCCTCTGCACGTCCTCTGTGGACAGTAAGTGGTGAGACCTTCACTCTGTCCTCTGCACGTCCTCTGTGGGCAGAAGATGGTGAGACCTTCTATCTGTCCTCTGAAGGTCCTCTGTGGACAGTAGATGGTGAGACCTTCACTCTGTCCTCTGCATGTCCTCTGTGGACAGTAGATGGTGAGACCTTCACTCTGTCCTGTGCATGTCCTCTGTGGGCAGAAGATGGTGAGATCCTCTATCTGTCCTCTGCAGGTCCTCTGTGGACAGAAGATGATGAGACCTTCTATCTGTCCTCTGCAGGTCCTCTGTGGACAGAAGATGGTGAGACCTTCTATCTGTCCTCTGTGGACAGTAGATGGTGAG